AGTGACCGGACATTTTTCCTTATTCTTTCTTGGTATTGATGAAGAATAATATGCTACAGCTTCAAAATAATAATCTTTCTCAAGCCAGACATCCTGCAGACTGGGTCAAGGATCAGTTACATCTTTGTACCCTAGTGTAGGTTCCAGCTCTATTCCATATTTTTCAAAAGCAGAAAAGCAGTCTGAAAACAGACATTTCTGAAGACCTTGTATGATTTTAGTAGGGACTGAAACTTAGGAACTGATCCAAGTTGGAGCCAATCTTTACTCCTGGAGAAATCAGCCAGTTTGTGCTTTAGAATAAGGGAATTTGCTAATAAAGGCTTTTTAGTGGAAAACATTTTGTGGCCGAATCTGCCTAGAGAAATGTGCGTATTGTGTGTATGTGTATGTGTAATTTTGGCTAGGTCTGGCCAGAGTGAAAGACCTTATGGACCTTGAACAGACAAGAGAGTAGGAATATGCCTCTATGTGATTTGTGTTTCATAGGTGGGAGGGAAATCTGCATCTGCTGTGTCTAGGATCATGAACTGAGCACACCAGGGCCTTCAAGAGAGTGGGAGTGGGCTATCTGTGGAGACTAACTAAGATCTGGTAGGGATGGAGGGAGAAAGATTTAGGGGAGGGAATGGTGGCATCTAGCAATTTGGCCTGAGCACATGATCCTAGACTGAGGCACGTGTGTGTGTGCGCATGCACGTGCGCATATATATGGACATGCTGGAGGGTGTAGACTGTGGTGAATAGCTTGGGCTGATTCAAGTCAGACACCTGAGCTCAGTTCCCATCTCTGCAGTTTACAATCTGAGTGATCTTGTCCAAGATTCTTAACTTCTCTGAGCAGTCAGCCCCTCGCTCTCCTCACTTTCCTGCTCCCTGGAAGGTCAGTGAGTTGCCAAGAAGCTTGTACCTTCCAGAACCCAGGAATCCAGAGTCTACTCCAGACTTCCTTTGTTATCACAGAGGTGCAGAGTAGGAGAAGGAAGAGACCTTAGGATCTTTATGATGTCCAGCCTTGCCCCTGGATCGAGTGTGGAAAAGGCTCTGGATATAGCAGGGAGACCAAATGTCCTTCCCCTAATCAGCCCAATAGTTGGGCTGGCTTTGGTATGAATTGCTTTTTGTTGAACTTTATCCTTTGAATAGGCAATCTGTGTTTGAGACCTTTTGGTAAACACAATATTGTATTAGGGCTACATCATTATTGGACCATCTTGGCAGGCCAGAAAGTACAAAGAGCAACACCACAAAGAGGAGCAAGCCTTCCCGTTCACTGGTCGTACTGGAAGATTGTTGTCAGTGCTTTCAAAATAGCCCTATTTGGTCTACTTCTATTCCATATATGTGAAATAGAACTAATAATGTCTGTCCTTTTAAGAGCTCTGATCTTATTAGGTCCCTGTCAAAAGCCTTCAGTGGTTTTCTGATCAATACCAAAGTATATTTTTCCCCCCTTGGCTTTTAAGTCTCTTTACAATTTGAAGACAGCACTTAATAATGAATATTTGTACAGTCTTTTTATAGTTTCTAGATTTGTCCCGGGAATGCAAGTATGGTTTCATTTTAGAAAATATATTAGTATCATTTACCACATTAAAAGATTAAAAGGAAAAATCCATATGATCAGCTCATTAGATTCACAAAAATGTTTGATAAATTCAGTATAATTTTATGATTAAAACCCAATAAAATACAAGGGAATTTTCTTTATTTGATTAAGGTCATCTGTAAAAATCCTACAACAAACATGCGCAATGTGGAAACATTAGAAACATCTTTAAAATCAGGAAGATAACAAGAATATTAGCAACTTTCTGTTCAACATGTGAGGCCATCCTAGCAGTGCAAAATTTCTTTCAAAAAAAAAAATTAGAGGCCTAAGAATTGGAAAGAAGGGAAAAAACCCTCTGGCAGTATGTGCAGGTTAATATGATTGTTTACATAGAACACCTTATTGACTCTTCAGACAAAGAAATAGGAACATTTGATAAGGTGGCAAATAGTGGCAAAATAGGAATTTGCAAAATCAGTTGCATTTTACAAAAAAGCTGTCTCATTCAGAGACATTCATACAATTCAAAAAATATACCATTGCTATTGTAAAACAACAACAGTCTTAAAGTACTTAGCAAATTTAATCAAATATGTATTAAGTTATCATATAGAAAAATATAAAGTTTTAACATTAAAGAAGATTAAATAAATGGAGAGAGATATTCCATGTTCATGGATTGGAAGACATAATATCAGAAAGATGTGAGTTCTATCCTAATAGATCTGTAGATTCAATGCAGTTTCCATCAAGATCCCATGAGTCTTTCATAGAACTTAAAAAACTGATACTAAAATTTGCATGAAAGAGTAAAGAAACTGGAATAGTGAAGACACATTTGAAGCATAATAACAGGATTGAGGATTTGCTCTGTCAGGTATCAAGCCTCATAATGAAGTGACAGAAATAATGTGGAACTGGCATAGAGACAGATAAACTGACCAATGGAATAGCTTAGAGAGTCTGGAAATGGATCCCTATATTTGGAACTTTGACATATGACCTATGGTGGCATGACAGGTAAGTGGGAAAAACAAGTGTTCAGTAAGTGGAATGTATGGAAAAACATTAGATCTGTATTTCACATCATGACATAAAAATCAGCATCAGATAAGGGCCATTAACCAAAAACAAAAATGATAAACTTTTGGGGATTCCTGGGTGGCTCAGTGGTTTAGCGCCTGCTTTTGGCCCAGAGCGTAATCCTGGAGACCTGGGATTGGGTCTCACGTCAGGCTCTCTGCATGGAGCCTGCTTTTCCCTCTGCCTGTGTCTCTGCCTCTCTCTCTCTCTCTCTGCCTCTTTCATGAATAAATAAATAAAATCTTAAAAAAAAAAAGAAATTAGGTAAAATGAATGTTTAAAAAATGATAAACTTTTAGTAGAAAATAGAAATTATCTTTCTGGCCTTGGTGTAGGGAAAGACACTTTTTTTTTTTTAAATCTTAGGTAGTGAATATACAGTGCAATATTGGTTTTAGGAGTAGAATTCGATGATTCATCAGTTACATATAATACCCAGTATTCATCACAAGTGCCCTCCTAATACCCATCCCTCATCCAGCCCATCCCCCACCTAGCCCATTCCCCCTAGTTTGTTCTCTATCATTAAGAGTCTCTTGTGGCTTGTTTGCCTCTCTCCTGTTTTTCTCTTCCCCCTTCCCATGTGTTCATCTGTTTTGAAAGACACTGATTTTAAAATAAATAATGCTTGTGGGATTTCTCATATAAAAATTTTCACCTTTGCTAGGTGTTCCTTCACCTTGATCACCTGTTTTTGAGATTTTCTTTGCCTCCCTAAGCATATTACTCTAATCCTATGCCTTTGTGCATCTCTCGATATTTATCTTCCTGTGCTCAGGTAACTTCCTTGCCCCCAGAATTCAGATAGTCCCACGGTTCAGATGACCATGGCTTGTATTTGCATATTGAACTGAAGGTGGGACAGGAAGCCAAAGGAGGTGTCTATCATGGTCAGATGAACTCTAGGTCTTGCATGCTGGTTGTATTTGAATGTTCTAATAGTCACAAATTTCATTGTAAGATCTGTAGAGATTATCAGGTCTCTGGAACATTCTCTTAACCACAGAAGCCCCTTTCTTAAACCAGTTTGCAGGTCTAGGTGGTAGCTATGTAGGGAGGCACACCATGCAAAGGTAAAGCAAACTATCTTTAAACTAGAATTTGAATGAATTGTGAGTCCCCAAGTCTACACAAGTGGAGAAGTTTCGGTTTTCCTCTTAGAACAGGTCCTGGACTTGATCTTGGAGCTGAATAATTTAATCAATTTGGGGGGAAAAAGTCCTTTTTGTGGTTCATTCCTTTGCTAATTTTTTTCCATCCCCCATAAAGCTGAAACCCATTGCTTAGGAGTAGTTGGACATCTAGTTGGCATCCATAGGAATCTGAGTGTTTTGTCTCCAGTACCAAGGACTTTGAGGTTATGAATGACTCTTGCTAGTCTCCACCTGCTCACTTAGTCCACACAGACAGGCCTTCTTTTCATAACAGTGACAGTTCCTTGTCTTTCGATGGGATTATGCTTTCCCAGAAGCTTTCACTCCTGTGCCGTTGTTCTCCCTACCACAGCCAGTGTGATCTTTCTCAAGTGCAAATGTGTTCAATTCTCTCTCCTTTTGATGGCTTTTCATTGTCTAGAAGCCGCTTGGAAGTCCAAACTCCTTGGCTTTGTTACTATGACCCTTACTGGACTGCTCTGTCTTCTAGCCTTTAGTGTTGAAGCTCACCTAGTTTTATTGAACTCCTTTGACTCTTTCCCTTTATGTTTCTGTGTATTTACTCTTTGCCCTGCCAGGGTGCTCTCCACATTAACCTGTCTTATTTTTACTCTTCCTTGAGATTTCTGCTCTCCCTCAGCTTCTGGGAAGTTTCCCCTTATCCTGCAGCACAGGAGTCATTGCCCATCCTCTGTGCTTCTGTGCCTCCTGTCCAATCATAATAATGAAGATATGATGTTTAGGTGTTTGCTTGGCTCCCTCCTACACTGGGCTCAAATCTCAGCTTTGTGAGAGTAGCTGTCTCTGTACCTTGTTTGTTGTGTTTCCCCAAAATACAATGCCTGGCACATGGTAGGCTCCATTGAATGTTGAGTGGATAAGTTTCCCTGTGAAGTGAGTGTGAAGCACTTAATCTCCTCCCATGCCCCCACCCCTTCAGAGGTGGGCAGATCATAAGGACTTCTCATAAAGTCTGACTAAGGACCTGGCTTCCACCAGCTTCCACCAGAGGAATGTTCTTTGCATTGGAAGATCCTGCAGAAATGGCTGACCCAATGCATTTCTTTCCCTGCTGGGTCTGTGATGAAGAAAACAAGCTGACAAAGATGCTTCGGGTGGGTGGGCAATTGCATTGAGTTGTGGCAGCTGGGCAAATGGGTTTACCAACATGTGATCCTCTCTTTACCCTCCCACTCCCTTCCTGTTCACAGCATCAAGCTGAGCTCCCAGCCCCCGGTTCAGGCCGGGGATGATGAAAAGAACCAGAGGACGATCACTGTCAACTCTGCCCACATGGGGAAGGCGTTCAAGGTTATGAATGAACTGCGGAGGTACTTTTCCTATTTTGCTTGTGCCCTTTTGGGAAGAACTTGGTGAGTGAGCGTCATCAGGCACTGAGAGCAGATTAGTGAATTCTCACTTTCCCCCACCTACTCACAGTCACTTGGCTTCTCCCTTTAAACTCCATCAAGACAGAATGGCTTTCAGAAAGCTTTCTCTTTCCTTTGTATTGATTCAACACCTTTCTTTTGACTCCTTAATCACAAGGGAATAATTTTTTTTAAAAGTTAGAGCAGTTTTGTTCATAAATTTGGTTTCCAATCAAACCAGCTGCTTGAAGACTAATAGTAGAATAATGACAATACTGATACATAGTTGCAGATTAAAGATTGTGGGTGATACATGTTTTCTTTTGGCCACCTCCTCTCATTCCTTGATCTGAATTTAGCTTTTTACAACAGCTAAATAAATGGAAGATTACCTAGTGTTTTCAATGCAGTTTAACTCTGTAAAGAAAGAAATGAAATGCAAATGTGCTCATCCTCTGCGATCTAATGGTGAGGGGTGTGCAGGCTATTTATAAGGCCAATAGGTACCTCTGGTGAGCTTGTTGCAAGGCAGATTCAGGATACTGAACATGTTTTTTGTGCAAAGGCTGCATGCCCAATCTCCTCCTTACCAGGGAACTCAAAATCTTCCTTTGCCCACGGCATTATTTATAGCATACTTCACCCTATTGTGAGCTATACTTGTTAATCTCCTCTTTTCTCTGCCATTTATGAGCTCCCTGAAGACGGACAGCTTCTGATTCATTTTTGATCCATAGTACGCAGTACTTCATAGGAGCCTCAAGGCATTTACCAAAGATGCCTAGAGGCACTGACTAGGCTCTGGGATGGGTATGAGTAAAAAAGTATTAACAGTTCAATGAAAACGATCTTCCTATAGTATAGAATAGGTGTTATGAAAGAGAAATGCATCAGGTGCCTGTCAGGTGGTAGATATACAATAGTTACTTATTTCCGAAGGGGTACTATGAAAGCAAGTATAACATACCACAACTTTGGAGAACACTTTCTAAAGCGGATGGTGCTTGAGCTAAATTTTGAAGGATAAGAAAGAGTTAAGGAAATAACAAGTGGTGGGATTAGGGGGAAGTCTTTCAAGCAGAAAAAAATGGGATAAGTAAAAGGACGTAGAACTGAAGATGTGTTTGTTGAGTAGTGGGGCTAAACTACTTTTAAACAAAAATTTATGTGGTTCTGTATTTGTTTCCTCCCTTCCCCTTTTTGCAGGACCCAGTCTTTGCCATTAAAAACCAAGTTAAATTAAATTTGTCTTACGCACTACTGCTCAGTTTTTATTAGGCCTCCTGCCAGATTTCCTGGAAGCTCTACCCACTGTCATCTTAGACAGTGGGCAGTGCTGATGTTCATGCCTATGGGTACAATTCTGTCATCCCTGAAGAATTTGTGTTGTGTTCTATAGATACCAGTGACATTCCTCATTTAGTTCCCTTCTGTATGGCTTTTGTCTGATTTAAGATTCTAGGTCTCTGAATAAACAACCTATATTTACATTTCAAGGAATTAGAAAAAGAAGAACAAACTAAGCCCAAAGTTATCAGAAGGAAGGAAATATTAAAGATTTTATTTATTTATTCATGAGGGACAGAGAGAGACAGGCAGAGACACAGGCAGAGGGAGAAGCAGGCTCCCTGCAGGGAGCCTGATGTGGGACTCCATCCCGGGACTGCAGGATCACATGCTGAGCCAAAGGCAGATGCTCAACCACTGAGCCACCCAGGTGTCTCAGAAGGAAGGAAATATTAAAGATTAGAACGGAGATGAATGAAATGAGACTAGAAAGACAATAGAAGAAAAAAAGAACGAAAGCAAGAATTGGTTGTTTTGAAAAGATAAATGTAACTTTAGCTAGACCAAGAAGAGAAGACTCAAAATTATAAATGAAAGTGGAAAAAAAAAAAAAAGAAAGTGGAGACATTACAACTGATACCGTGGAAATACAAACGATCCTAAGAGGCCACTATGAACAATTGTATGCCAACGAGTTGGATAACCTAGAAGAAATGGATAATATCCTTGACCATCAGGGAAATACAAATCAAAACCACAATGAGATACCACCTCACACCAGTGAGAATGGGGAAAATTAACAAGGCAGGAAACAACAAATGTTGGAGAGGATGTGGAGAAAAGGGAACCCTCTTACACTGTTGGTGGGAATGTGAACTGGTGCAGCCACTCTGGAAAACTGTGTGGAGGTTCCTCAAAGAATTAAAAATAGACCTGCCCTACGACCCAGCAATTGCACTGTTAGGGATTTACCCCAAAGATTCAGATGCAATGAAACGCCGGGACACCTGCACCCCGATGTTTCTAGCAGCCATGTCCTCAATAGCCAAACTGTGGAAGGAGCCTCGGTGCCCATCGAAAGATGAGTGGATAAAGATGTGGTTTATGTATACAATGGAATATTACTCAGCCATTAGAAATGACAAATACCCACGATTTGCTTCGACGTGGATGGAACTGGAGGGTATTATGCTGAGTGAAGTAAGTCAATCGGAGAAGGACAAACAGTGTATGTTCTCATTCATTTGGGGAATATGAATAATAGTGAAAGGGAATATAAGGGAAGGGAGAAGAAATGTGTGGGAAATATCAGAAAGGGAGACAGAACATAAAGACTTCTAACTCTGGGAAATAAACTAGGGGTGGTGGAGGGGGAGGAGGGTGGGGGGTGGGGGTGAATGGGTGACAGGCACTGAGAGGGGGCACTTGACGGGATGAGCACTGGGTGTTATTCTGTATGTTGGTAAATTGAACACCAATAAAAATTAATTTATTAAAAAAAAGATAATATCCTTGAAATGTACAACCTACCAAGACTGAGTCATTAATAGGGAGTCTGAACCAATCAGTAATGATTAAGGAGATTGAATCACTAATCAAAAATCTCTCAATAAAGAAAAAGCCTGTGGCCAGATGGTTTCACTGGTGAATTCTACCAAACATTCAAAAAAGAATTAATGCCAGTCCTTCCTAATTCTTCCAAAAAACTATAGAGGAGGGAACACTCTCAAACTCGTGTTAAGAAGGCCAGCATTACTCTGATACCAAAGCCAGATGAGGACACTACAAGACAAGAAAACTACAGGCCAGCATTCCTGAAGGCTATTGATGTAAAAATTCTCAACAAAATACTAGGAAACCGAATTCAACAGTATGTTAAAAAGATCATATACAATGGCCAAGTAGGATCTATCTCTGTGGTACAAAGATGGTTCAACATATGCAGGTCAATAAATGTGATACACTACATTAATAGAATGAAGGATAAAAATCTCATGATCCTCTCAATAGATGCAGAAGGTGTTTGACAAAATTCAATACCCTTTTATGATGAAAACTCCTAACAAATTGAATCTAGAAGGAACATACCTTAACACAATAAAGGCCACATTTGAAAAATCTACAGTTGCTATCATACTTAGTGGTAAAAGATTGAAAATTTTTCTTCTGAGGTCAGGACAAGACAGGGGTGCTCACTCTCACCATTCCTATTGAACAAAGGACTAGTCAAGAAAAAGAAATAAAATATATTCATATCGGAAAGAAAGAAGGCTGTTTGCAGATAATGTAATCCTATTTATAGAAAACCCTAAAGATGCCACTAATAAACTCTTAGAACTGGTAAACATTTGGTAAGCAGGATACAAGATCGATATATTAAAAAATCACTTGCATTTCTATTCAGTAACCATGAGCTATCTGAAAAAGAAAACAATTCCATTTATAATAGCATAAAAAATAATAACATATTTAGGAATTTAACCAAGGAGGTGAGAGATCTGTACACTGAAAACTATTATGCATTGTTGAAAGAGATTGAAGAATACAGAAATAAATGGACAATATCCCAGTTTTATGAATTAGAATTGATATTGTTAAAATGTACATAATACCCAAACTCCTCTATAGATTGAATGCAATCTCTATCAGAATTCCAATGCCATTTTTTTTTGCAGAAATGGGGAAAAATTCTAAAATTGTATGGAACAGAAAACCCTGCATAGCCAAAGCAATCTTGCAAAAGCAGAGCAAAGTTGGAGATACCACATTTTCTGATTTCAAATGATATCACAAAGTGTAGCAGTCAAAACAGGATGGTATAAACACAGACCATGGAACAGAACTGAGAGCCTGGAAATAAACCCACACATGTATGTCAACAAATATTTGACAAAGAAGCTAAGAACACTTCATGGACAAAGATAGTCTCTTCAGTAAATGGTGTTAGGAAAACTGGACAGGCACGTGGAAAATAATATAATTGGACCTGTATCTTACCCCACCAAAAAAGTTAACTTGAAGTGGATTAGAGACTTAAATGTAAGATCTAAAACCATACCGCTCTTAGAAGAAAACAGGAAAATCCCATTTTACACATGAAAATGCATTTTAAAAAATCACAGAATCCCATAGAATTCTAATATTTTCCCAGTGCATTAGGCATCCCTTAGCCCAGTTAATTTGGCACATAAAACTAATTAACCATTACAGTCTTGTTCTTCCTTTTTTCTTTTTTTCAAATGGAGCACAATCTGTATATGTTTTGCCAATCTTTCGTGCAGGTTTAGGCATAAATTTCCCTTTTATTTTTTTTTTTATTTAAAAAATTCCCATTTTTCTTTTCTTTTCTTTTCTTTTCTTTTCTTTTCTTTTCTTTTCTTTTCTTTTCTTTCTTTCTTCTTTTTTTTTTTTGGAAAAGAAGTATGTTATAGAACATTTACAAAATACAGATGAGCAAAAAGTCATCTATAATCTGAATACCCACTGGTTACTGTTGTTAACACTTGGGAGAATATTTTTCTTTAAAACCTATGTCTCATCAGATTTTTTTCTCTTAGCATTATATTGGACAAGTTTTTTCCCTTAATTTTTTTTAAATTTTAAGTAAATTCTATGCCACATGTGGGGTTCCAACTCATGACCTTGTGATCAAGAGTTGTGTGATCTCTTGATGG